GGATTCGTATCCAAGACATGTCTGGATTGATCAAGTTCAAACTTCACACACATATGGTACATCATGTCACAAATAGATATGTGCATTTGTTTCATGATCTGCTTAACAATAGCGGAATGATGGCCATTTTAAGGCCGAAAATGCATCAAAATCACGTATTTTCACAATTCCAGAACCGGATCTCAGTCATGCATGGATGGATTTTGTTCAGATTTAGCACAATGTGTTGTACATATGCAGGTGCATTTCGGTCATGATCTGCTTTGAATGTATATGTCACTCAAATATGAACGGAACGGGGACGTGTCATTGACAATGACTTGTTTTAGTCGTCTTGCTTGATCCTTTAAATTCCATTCCCTGCAAAAACATTAAAATGAACATTTTTCTGTAATTCCTCTAATTTTGGACCCAATCGAGAGAATTTTACATTATCTACACATCTTGATCAAAAAATATGTTGGTTTCTGAAATGTGACAAAACTTGTAAAGTTGAAAAATACAAGTTGTGAAGTTCAACTAGCTCAACCAATTATAGCGGGAATATGCAAATTCATGAAGGACCGAGAAATGCAATTTAATCATGTCAATAAATCATGCATTAAGCATTCACAAAACTTAACACTCAATAATAAAAATTCTTATTGATTGTCCAAATGTTTGTAGCTCCAAGAGGTAGAGGGAGAGGTAGAGGCAAACGTAAATCCTCAGAAGACAACTCATTTGAGGAAGCTGTTGCTAAGAAACCAGCTGGGAGAGGGAGAGGAAGAAAAAAGAAAGTTTATGAAGATGCTTATTCAGATGAAGATGATGATGAGCTTCCTGTGATACCAAGAGGCAGAGCACGGAAGACATCAGATGAAGATTTTGACTTGGATTGGATGATTAGTGATGATAATGATAATGACGATGATAATGTCAGCGACTGGGAAGAAGAGCGTAAAGGAAAGAAAACACCTAAAAAGAAGGTAGGCTAAAAATGTGATTCATAAATGATTATAGTGTTATGAAATACTATGTATGATGTATTGTTATGGGATGTTATATTACAATATTATGTATGCAGTATCGTACATTCACTAAGGCAATACTTACCGAGTGCTATTTTGGATCTAAGGTCCTTTGATATCAATCAAATGTAAAAAAAACTCCCACAATATTATACATCAAAAGAAAAATACAGAGAGCTTTCATGATTGACTTATTATTCATTCCGCCAATTTTAAGCTATACCAACAGCACATATCAATAAAAGCCAGTGATCAGGTGACGTATAACATCATTTCAGAACTATGTATTTCAGTGCATTGAATAAAGTAGTTCCGGAAACGTCACTGTGAACATTAAATCATTCATTCAAGAGTTACAAACAATGTGATATTCCTTTACTTCATATGAAAATTCCTACTTTCTAGTAACAAACAGAAATTCTGTCGTATGACGTCTTATATTCCAGCAGAATCTTTTGAGTAAATCTGATTTTGATATACTACCTGAAAGGAATTTAATAGTATTGACCAAGACTGATTATCAAGATGACAATGAGGTCATACATTTGGCTGTACTTGACATTGGCCAAAACATTCTATTATTCCAGAGTACACGAAGACGATCATCCTCAATCGTTGAAAAGAAGACTCCTCCACGAAGAGCAGCATCTAGGAGAACGTACGCTGAAATGAGTGACAGTGATGATGAAATCTATGAAGAAGACTTGTTACCAGCAAGACCCAGCAGTGGAAGGAGAAAGAAACAGGTGGTTGAAAATAATGCAGGTGATGATGATGATGACAGTCAGCCCAAGGATAAGAAACCTTGTCCATATGGCAAGGAGTGCTATAGGTAAGACAACTATTATGAAGCTGATACTGCAATGGTGGCCATTAGTGAAATTCAATTGTTGTTAATTTTTTTAAATGCCCTAATCATTTTTTTGTCACAAAACATGCATATGTTTTTTTTAGATATTTTTAACCAAGATTTGAGGGAAATGGGGAATTATGTCCATTTAGTCTACAATAAATAAAATTATTGTAGAAAAATATCAATATGTGCAAAATGTTGAATAAAAATTTGATGGGAAAAAGTGCATTCAAAGGGTTAAACAATGTAGAGGTACCCTTTTTTTTACCTTTTCTATATCATTTTAGATATAGTTCAATATGAACTGTAAAATACTTTTATTTTATTTGGAATTAATTAGTCCCCGTTCGGACGCAGTCCGAAAACGGGGACTTGTGTGTTGACCTCCGTGCGTGCGTGCGTCTGTGCGTGCGTCCGGATCTGTATCTTAGAAATTCCTTGACCAATCACAATCAAACTTCACACATACATCATACATGATATTATACATATGCACGTCATTTTATTTTACGATCTGATTCAAGATGGTCGAATGGCAGCCATTTTTGTGCCAAAAATCCTAAAAATCAACCATTTCTAGGCTGTTTACAGATGGATTTTGTTCAAACTTGGTATATACATTAGACATTATGGGACCTTGATGCAAATATTTTTGTTTTTCAGATAAGATTCAAAATGGCCGAATGGCGGCCATTTTGTATTAATGAATGTGGTTCTCGTGCCATATCTCTGACTTGCTTTCACTGATTATGTTCAAATTTTAAATATTCATTATACATCATGTCATAGATAGACAGATATATTGGTTTGATGATCCTACTCAAAATGGCCAAATGGTGGCCTTTTTTGTGCTAAACAATCATCAAATATCAAGCATTTGTGGGTGGATTTCTTTCAAATAGGTAAATACATTAGACATTACGGGTTCCTGATGCTCGTCATTTTATTTTTCAGATTGGATTAAAAATGGCTTGCTGGTGGCCATTTTGTTTTAATGATTGGGCTTCTAGAGCCATATCTCTTGAATGCTTTGACTTATTATAATTAAATTTTATATATTCGTTATACATCATGTTATATATATACATGTATTCAAAATGGCTGATTTTGAATGCTGTTCCAGAGCAATTTCTCTCAATATGGACAAGTACTTGTTTAACGATCAGATACAAATGTCAATCATTTTAATGTTAAAAAAATCATATTCCTGACATGGTTATATTCCAGCTATATTACTATAAACAAAACTTCATATCTTAAATTTGATAACTAACGGGGACTGTGCCATGCATGGCTTGTTTTTGCTATTTTCGCTGAAATAATGGTTTAATGAAAATAAAATCCCACGAAAAATTTGTTCCAGCTAAAATAAAGTACTAGTATTTTACAATATCTGAGGGGGAAATGTCTGTCCTTGTTGTTGTTTCTGCTTATTTTGTTGTTGATTCCAAAATGAAAGTTTTTATCTTGGTTACAATAACTTAAAACAGTTCAATTTTGATAGGTGTTCTATATATATATATTTCTCAAACTTTCGTCAAATTTCACTTAAAATTGTCTTTGTCTAGTGGTTACCATAACTTAAAATTTCCTTTCTGATAATTTTATCAATCACTATAAAATGTCAACTATGTTAATTAAGTTTTGATATAACTAATAAGTGCAATTTTCAAGATGTGAGGAAATATTTGGTTGAGATGAAACATTTGCTAGATATAGAAATAAGTGGAATAAAGACATTTATACTGCTGATATTGAGAACCAGATGTTAGTAATATCATAGAGGTATAAACAGAGGGAGTTACAACTGGTTTAAGCCTATTTCTTTTGTTTCTAGTCGAGTTAATCCTCCTATCTTGTCTGCTTAAGTGTCCTTTGAACCCCATGATCATTTCTGACGCTCGCGTTCACTGTCCTCGTAACCATACTTCAAAGTCGTATTCTCGTCAAGATATATTGATAATTTTGTTCAGACTACTACGGGGTACTATTTTTAGGAACTTGCATACATTGTGATATTATTCTAATATTTTGTTCAACCAGTGATATTTTCGAAGTACTAATAAAAACATGTAATCAGCTGTAACATGTTTTTATCTCAACAGAAAGAATCCAGGACATTTTCAGGAGTTTTGTCATCCAGGTGATTCTGATTATGTGACGTCACAGAGCGTTGATGATGATGAAGCAGCAGAGGAGTCGTTACCTGAGTGTCCATATGGAACTGAATGTTACAGGTATGTATAGTTGAATAAACAAACAAATTAAGGTTTATAAACATTGTAAGGTTGTACTACAATTACAACCTCCACGTATTGTTGAACACCTAAACAGTAACATTGGTTTGCTATGCGCACCTGGAGATCATTAAGCGAATAGTATATAAATTAATAAACGCTGCTCAGACTGATAAATATGATATAAAGAAGATAATATTTGGTAATGG